TTCTTCCAGGGAAGCATTTCGGCCGCGTTTCGATTTCGAAAGCTAAGGGTGCTGGTGAAATTACAAACACATGGGACTTGTCAGCTTATGTCTCCGGGTGACGGGCACAATGGCAGCGCCCCCAGATCTTTGTGATTTAAAGCTCTGAGTAGCAATGCAACTGTTATGAACAGGCGTGTTTCTTATCAGATGGCGCACGAATTTTTCGTGCCGTCACTAGGTATCATGGCTTTTTTAAAACAAGCCTTAATACGTGGGGCACACTATAAGTTTCCGGAATGAATAAGAAAAAAATACTATACATGGTCAGAAATGAATTTATTGTTTCTCAAAATATTCTCCGTTAAAGCACTTTTTCATAAGAATGAATCAATTTTGAAAACATTTATGCCACTCCTCCCTGACAAACTCTGAAACATATTTTTCATACTCTTCAACGGCCTCTTCAGGTGATGAAAATCGTTGACCGCGTAACTGATTCTTAAGTTTTGGAAATAAATAAAAGTCACAAGGTGCCAGGTCGGGACTGTGCGCGGGATGGTTCATAAGGTCAACGTTGTTCACCTTATAAAATTTATTTGTCTCTCGCCGTGTGAGAACTGGCATTATCGTGGTGCAAGATGATACGGCGTTTACGGTTATTTTTACGGAGTTTGTCAATAACTTCCAGCAAACAAATGGTCGTGTACCAATCACTATTCACGGTACAATGATTATCCAAAGCAACAGACAGTCGTCACGTGTCCAATTTTATTAAAAAAAGAAGCAATCATCCGTTTAGAGGCAATATGCACGCACGCCACTTTGGTTGGTTTCGGCTCATTTTGAAGGACCCATACGCTTGATTGCTGCTTTGTTTTGGGATCGTAACTATAAATCCATGTTTCGTCACCTGTTACTATGTCCCACACCAAATTTGACGCCCCTTCGTTGAATCTGGTAAGTATGGCATTGCACCAAGTGATGCGATCCGTTTTTTTAGCCCCAGTCAAATTGTGTGGGATCCATCATGAGCACAGCTTTTTCACACCCAAATGTTTGTGTAGTATTGATTGTATTTGACTCATGCCTTTGCCTAAAGATGCCCGAATCTCATGGTATGTCACATGCCTGTCTGTTTTGATCATACGGCGCACAGCATCGATGTTTTTGTTTTGTTCACAGAAGTGGACGGGCGACCACCACGAAATTCGTCACTGAGATTCACACGACTGCGTTTGAATTGTGCAAACCAGTTATAAATAGTTGTCTTGTATGGTGCTTCATCGCCAAAACCAGTTTGAAGCCGAGCGAAGCTCCGCTGAGCAGTTACATTACACTTAAAGTCGTAGAAAATCATGCTACGAAAATTTTCACGAGTTAAATCCATGATGATGTACACAACGGATTTCTAAAATGACGCCACAATGTAAAAACAAGTGACAGTCAGATGAAACATACTGTATCTACAGCCAAAGTCTTCCATTTTCAAATGTTTTAATTACTTTTTAAGTATTGTTTATGTAAGTGACTAGTTCTGGAAACTTATAGTGCGCCCTATACATATATACACATTGTCAATACTAATCATTTATTATTTGTATAACAAATACATTATTCTATTTCGGCCAAAAGCATAAAGTAATCGAACGTGTATTAGCTATGTAGTCATTGCCTGCCACATCATTAAACAGGAGTTATAACACGTATATATGTAATATATACTCATAAATCATAATCTCAGTACAAAGTACCAAAAAAAAACCGACCTTAAAAGTTCGTGGAATTGCATCTATTTGCAAAGTTTTATCGAAATCGATTACCGGAAAGATTGTGAGTGAAGCGCTTGTTTAAAAAATTGTTATTTTCCTCGACATCTAGAGACAAATATATTACCGACTTACGATTATTACATACTGTGGAAAACTACAAAAAATGTGCTGCTTTCTCCCAAAGGTATGGAAAACGTCATGTGTTAAACGAGCGCTAAGTTTATGTCACAAAGAAAATACTTAATGGCCGAGTAGGAGGCGAGACGGTTTAAACGTTACCGAGTTAGCAACATACAACCTACTTACCGCCTTAGTAAAACAATGTATTTTGTTAAAATTGGTTGCTCCAAGTTCAACACAACTTCGATTTGTAGGTAATGGGCCTTATGGACCTTTAGACCTTACTACAATATAACAAGCTATATACTGATAGCCATCTTAAGAGAGTACATAGGCCGTAGTCCTCTTTGCTGCCCTTGCAGGTGGGAATTTGTCTACAATAAATACCATCACATTGCGTGTATTCAAAATTTAAAAATAAATGAAAGAATGTGCAAGCAGCGTAAGATCGGTCGTTGTCCAGCAGTGGACGTCATTCGGCTGAAATGATTATAGCAATGAACTGAATTATGTAAAGCAAGTACTTACCATCTCTATAACTATAGCCCCTCACTAGGGAAACCCTGGATCGCGGGTGCCCTAGATACACACATAGACAACCACAAATTTCACTCAAACTCAGGAGAAATAAGTGTAGGCCATACAAATATTTGTCCCGGCACAGGAATCGAACTCGAGACCTCTGCGTGGCAGTTCAGCATGGTAACCGTTCGGCCACTGAGGTAGTAAAAATTATTGCTTCTCAATAACGAATCGAGCTACAGTTCAATCACTTATCATTGTTTGGCATTTGGTTTCTTAATGAAGCAATTCCAGATACGAATTCCATAGGTATTCAAAAAGTTTTACAAATTAGAAACTCATATAAATTGGACGAATTCATTTATAAATCGACCTTTTTGGTAGAGCTCTCATTAGGTCTGTCAACTTTACGTACGTAATGAGTTAGGCAATTTCAAAGTTCCTGAAATGAACATTTACTGTAGCGTTAATTGAATATTTTAAACAATAATTAGCTAATTATTCGCAACCCTTGTTTTATAAGTGAATCACCACACTTATTGACGCGGAATCGGCTTGAGATCAACTCAAGCAGAAAAGGTTTTATTTCTATGCAATAAGAGCTAAAAAGACGATATTGACGACGTACGTCGCGCCTCATTCCAGAAGAAACGTACCTATATATTTTTCACTCTTAATCAACTTTAAGCTTTTTCAAACCGACACAAGCCGATTTCATTTCGATAAGTGTAAAGACCTCTTAAGTATTCTTAGGATTCTGACTCCTTCTTAAAGAACACGTTTTGAAACTTCGTGTAAAAAAAAAAATACTTTTTTTCATGATTTTGAGCCGACAACATTCATCAACTCCTTAACGGCACTTTAAAAACTGAAATTAAGATTAAGAGACAAAATAAATACATTTATATTGTAAGCCACGTTGCTTATTAGGTTATTTATAAGAAACTCTCTATAATATTGATAATAATGTAATTTAGTCATGTAGTAAATTATATGGATTACAAATTAACATAACTTATGATTTTGTTATTCGATACTTTCGTCCATTTCTTGCTTTTGTAATATGCTATCTTTAAGACCACTAATAAGTAATCAGTATAGTTACCATCGGTTTCAAAAATAGCTTCATATTACTAATTTCGCTTTTTTACTCATGTCTATTATATTCCTTGACGCCTTCTTACCTTATGGAACGTTTTACTTTCCATTTGTCTACATTGTACTAAACACATCTGCAACTTTCTCATACCTCCAACTTTTATTCCAACTCTTTTACCGTGTCTGCAAGCAGACTGTGGAATTCTGTTCCTCAATTTATTCAACGATCCCCTTCTCTCGATTCCTTCAAACAACGTGTCAAGGACACTTCCTTAACTTCTAAGTTTCGTCTTTTCTTTATTTCCTGTATTTATATTTTATTTTATTTTTTCTCTTCAAAAGTACATAAAAATTTGATATTTATATATCTATACCCATTGTTGATATTATATTTATTGTTATGTATTAATATTAGCTATATGTTTATCAGTATTTTATCTACATATATGTTTTTATTACTATTTCTTATGTAATGTATTTATGTAGAGAGTCTCTAGTTCCAACTCTTTTGCATATACCCCAAATTCTAACCTAAGATTACCGCTGCCTGTTGTACATTAACTTCTATTTGTATACTTTAGTGTCCTGTGTTGCCACTGTAATTTTATGTGCAATAAAGCATATTTCATTCATTCCTTCAATAACACGAACAAATATATATTGTGATGAAAATATTATGCTGGTATTTCTTTTTACAGTTAGTTTCATTTTTCATTTAGCATTGTGGATTCTAGTTTTACAGTTCCCGTTTTGATTTCCAGTAGGTCGGGAAGAGAATTTACTAAATTGGTTTCAGTCTAGATGTTTTGGGTAGTGCTATATAGTGGATTTCTTTACTTAAATTGGCTTTAGTCTGGGTGTTACGGATAATGCCAAGGAATTTATTTTGGTGTCCTGGTACTCATAGCTCATGGGAAGTACGTATTTTGAAACCTCTTCAATTTGTTTTACAACATACTTTTATTATATTCAGAAAAAATGTATAGAAGTATTATTTCTGATAGTTATCCGAATTTAGACTCTCGCCACTCTCATGGCCTAAACGATAAATTGTTATTATTATTTATATTAAGGTATAAAAAACATCTGTTCATCTACTTTTGGGGCTGACTGTACATAATGGCTACACGCTAGAGACGCTTTCTTACGAGCGTTTCTTACGAAAAGCCGTACCTAATTCATCCCCTATTGGACGTACTAAATATGGGTTTTTAATAGTAATATAATAATAATATAAACTTATACGGTAGATGGAAAGGCGTATCTAATTCGTCGCTTTGAGCGGACATACTGGGTACGGTATTTCAGTTGTTTAGCCCCTTAGAAAAGCGTACCTACCTCGTCTCTCCTTGGGGGACGTACTGTATACGGACAGCCATATACGCAACCCGGTCTACGTGGGTGCACGGTTCAACGATGAATTTGACATACACTTTTTAAATGAATTAAACATAAAAGATACCGTGTGCTAAAATATATAAAAGATAGTATGGGTTCTTTAGCACTTACCTTTTTTGCATTCATCAATGTCCTCATCCGAATTGTCACCGCAGTCGTCCTCGCCCTCACACACCCAGGATAGCGGTATACACTTTCCATTCCCACATTGAAACTGCTTCAGGGAACAAACGTCTGAAAAGAAAAACAAAGTTACAGAAGTTAATTAATGTTCAACTTTTACTTTTACCTAGAATAATTCATTTAGTTTATTTAGAACCTATTCTATTAAGCGTATAATAAAACTTTAAGGGTTCATTGTAGTCAAGAATCCGAACATAGGTACTGATGTCGAATCACACAATGACGTACTAAACTTAAATTTAAGATTAGTGCAACTGTCTCTTTAATTGTCATTAACAACAGGACCGAATGTCACTGTCAAATTCTGACAGCTCGATTCAAATTTATTTGTCGTCCGTGATCGATGGGGTTGTAACTTTATAAAGAAGTAGTAGAAGTCATATTTTTACAAAACTTCCGTACATAGTCATTCTTACTTGACATAGGCGAAATTGTTTCGATGGAGCCATAGCACTTAAAAGAAGAAGGATGTCAATTTTCCAGTTACAAAATTTGTGCACTTTTAGAAAAGTTTAGTTAAATGTGTCGATTCTCTGAGCATTGAGCCAGCTCAGGCGAGGTGCAACCGTTGGCTCGAAAGAGTACCATCTACCTTTGTCCCGCCTTTTGAGTCTTCCTCCCGGACACGAATTGCTACGGCCAATCTGTAAGTCTTTAAATAGGCTTTGGACTCGGATTGGTCGAAGAGAGGACAATATGCTCAGGTGTGGGTTTTCGGATGCTGCTAACCTGAATTATTTTGGGACTCACATCGTGCCGTGCGTGCCCTGACACCTGCACGCTTGACAATTTACTGGCGGCTACTAGTACCCGGTCGATGTGACTGAGGTCTGGGCCACTATGTATAGTGTCTGCCATCGATACGACAAGAAAAAATAACTTTTCATTTTCGTTTACACGAGACAAACGTGTTTTTTTATGTAAAAGTAAGAGCAAACGAGTAAACGATCCACTTGTTGGAACGTGGTCAGCGTGGCTTATGGATATTTGCAAGACAGCAGAAATTGGCTATGTATTGCCAGCCTTTTTCGCTTCACGAAGATCCCCATGTCGTAGCGCAGAGGTCCGTTCCACTTGCAGGTTCGAGAAAGGAACGAACCTTACATATGCGCAGTCTATCCAAGTCTAGCATCAAAGATGTGGGGATGAGCACTACGCTTTTGGCGGGACGTGCTAGCTATGGTGCAAACGAAATGTTCAGTATATTTCATAACATTTTATTATTTTATAAAAGTAATCTGTAAGGAAGAAATAAGCTAAATAAGTCAATCAAGTGAATTGGCAAAAAATGATGTCCTCGTGTATACTCTTTTAATTATTCACATACACAGGTAATTGAATACCACCATTGATAAAAATAACTCAATATCTCCAATGAATACTACGCCAACTTTTAGACCTGTTATGTTTCTATTTTGGTTTTTGTTTCTTTACATATTTTCTATCTTTATCTCAAAATTGTTTTTGTTGTTTTTTTTTTAATTTTATTTTTTGTTTCTTTTTTTCACAAAATTCGGGGAGCATAATATTAATAAATAAATATGGCTGTTTATAAAAATAACGTAAAAAGACCAAAAATAGAGTTGCATTGTATTCATTGGAGGTATCGAACTAATCATATTATATTACAACAATGCATATTATACGCAAGTATCAATATTATAAAATAATAATATGCCGTTATAATACTGATAATGAACCGATAATGATAAATAAAAAGCGATTCATAAGCAAATGATTGTCGTTATTTTATGTTATTACCTTTTCATTATTTATTGCTTGGTGGTAAACCTAATAATGTTAATATGCAGATATGACAATCATAATAATTAAAGTAGTAAATACAGGTAATAAATTAATTTGAATAAACCATTTACGAAGCATTTTTATTTAAATCAAAGAATGGTCATTAAAAATAGAAGTTATTTTAATATATATTAAATTTAGATGATTCGAAAAACTTGAGGGATGATAGTACTCGTCTATAAGCAAAACTTTACTACAAAACAGCAGTTCCACACAAAATGTTATACATACATCGATGGCTTTCCAGAACAGCGACCTATCTCAAAAATACCTAACTCAATGAGTTGGTGTAAAAACAAAACCAAGGTGTGTCTGACGAGCAAAGCGGACGAATCTTATTCCGACCCAATATTTATTAATTGTTTTAAAACTCGATTCAATCACAATATAATTTAGCTCATTGTGAATAACGCTGCGTAATGAAACAAGTCAAAAATTTAAATATTACTTTGGGCGATTATTCTTGAAAAGCAGCCAAAATGACCAAAACGCATACATCAGACCACACACACCTTTTTCATCCTAATATTTTTCCCTATACTAACATATAGTGGCACATTAAATATGTCAATATTTTAAGCAAATATGTGTCAAGCTTCTGTAGAAATATATTGACTACAGCTGAACATACAATAAAAGGAAATCTTTTCTCCCTGGGAAATCTGGGAAACTTAGCGCATAACTCATTTGGGCCTATTGTCGAAGAATAACCATTCGACATACATTTCCATGATCCTCACGGCCTTTATAAGCCCATTACGTTATGGACACGAGGATCAGAATAGTCAATACAATCGAGGAGACTATACTTCGAGTCCACTCGTTTGATTTATGCGGTAATATTTTCGAAGAACCAATTCTGTATGGAAGTTTCGGTCGTAGCTATGATTTACACTCTATCGCGCACTGAGAAATGTAGTTTTCATGTCTATAAAAGCGAATAAAGCAAAAGCGCCGCAAGCTGTAGCTTTAATGGAAGCCTTACTCGTAAAAGTGTCTTTCGCTTCTGAAACATTTCAGTTCGATTACGACATAATCCTCAACGCAAGCATACAGAACATTTAAACAACTTTTTGAAGTGCGTAACTCACGACAATAATGCGAAGTCATGTTCATTAATTAGTATAATAGAAACGTTTGAGGACAACATTACTGCAAGAACGCTTCAATCGATAAAAAAAAATTCTATATTATTCTTATTCATATTGAACATCATAATGTTTTTTATTACTACTTTCTTATTATTATTATTTAGAAATTTGTGTTTATTCGAACAAATCGATAAATAAAATCGATAAAGATCGATCTTTATACCGTTGTAATACAACATTTAATATTGTACCAAGTTAACAGTACACAGTAGTAACAGTAGTAACAGACAAGAGCGGCTATTCTTAACAATAATTAATAATAATATGTAAGAAATTACAAATGTAAGATACACACAAACCGTGAATGAATATTCTCCACTTTCATAACACAAGTATGGTAACTCCATTCAAACGCAGCAGGGCAACTTATGTGTGTACGTCTGCCGCGCGTCATGTACGGACGCACACATTCGCATAGTAAAGAAACGCGCGTGAGACGACCAGCGCTATACAACGCGAGTGCATCGCGAAATTATGCGAACGTGTATGTTTGTATACGACACGCGACAGGCGCGCACACATAGAAACAGCCCTGCTACGTTTGTATGGAGTTACCATATTTGTCTTATACTATTATGTAACACAAATTTAATAATAGCTTTATAGCAATTTTCTTTCATTAGCTACTAAAGCCGTGAGTCTTGTTTTATTGCAGCATGAAATTGTAAACATAAGTCAATATAGCTTATATTCTCCATTGAATCAAATAGGTATACTGTGGATATGTTAAAAGAACTTTTCAAAACACTTAAAGCAATGTAAATATATTGAGAGGAGTTGTGTACAAGCAAACTTTTATTGGAAATCTTTTCAACTAAGCCACACGGGATGCCGTATCAAAATGCGACGTTTTATTTGTTTACTTTTAACATTCCATTATTTTTACAATCTTCAACTACACAATAAATCACCCGGAATTCCTGGAAACAAACACATACTTAACTGTTTTCCTGTTCCTTTTATTTAGAATTGAAGAATTGCAAAGTCAATAAACCCGACTATTTCAAGAATTTATATCTACATGTGAGAGATAAGCACCTTAAACCCACATTTTAAAATTTAGGTGTTTTTAGAAACATTACTTTGAAATTCCAAAAATCACGCAATAGAAAAATGCGTTAAGTCCTATCGACGACGTTCCTATTTTAAATCTTAAGATTGATTTTAAATGTCTAGTTAAGAGCATCATTCTCTTTAAAACGCTCTGTAGATATAATTACTATTGGGCACTTAAGGTTCTTTACCTCTCACCGTCACTCACTCAGATATTAGCAATGCAAAGAGCAATCATTATAGGCACTACACTTGTTACATCCTAATAGCCCTGACACAAACTTGAAACTTTAGGTGGAATTCGAGTTCACGTCAAACAACTCTCAAGTAGCCCCGGAGTCGTCAGCTGCTTGCAGCCAAGTGTCACTGAAAGGGACACTAATTTAATTTCATTGCATTAGCCGAAGGGCCCTTGTTTGTAAAACGGGCGTGTGGTGACGGCTGACGGGTCTTGCTGACATCCAATCTGTGTGGAGAACCCTCGTGTCTGTCTCATTGAGAGCAAATCGCTCGAGCTAGGGGAGCTGGCCCGGCAAATTGGTGTATTATGTCAGTTTACGTCGTTTTCCTGACGGCTCTGAAATTCTGGGCCCAGATTTAATTTGGTTTTATTAAAAAAAAGCAACAAGGTAAACTCAAATGAGAATAAAAATACGCTTTCCGTAGAAAAAGACGTAAACTTAGACAACTCATTAAAAAAAGGTATTACGCGGCTCCCTATTAGTTTTTACTAATAAAAGCACTTTTAAAAAAACTGATAAAAAAGTATCTCAAAAATACAAATGTTTGGCGAATGTTGTGGTGAAACAGGGCTACAACGTTTTCCTGGACCTATGAAATATTCGATTCATAAAATCAGTCACGATTTCAAACAGAAAATTATGACTTCTTTAGTTATTGTACCCATGAAAAAAATTATGTTTGCGAATTATTACGGAGAAAAGTGTTATATTTATTAATAAATTTTGTTAATAATATATATTAATAATAATAAAATAGACCGCTTATTCATATCATAAGTCTTATGAAGATGTACGTTTG